TGGATATACTGCCCGAAATGCCATTATTATTATTATTATTATTATTATTATTATTATTATTATTATTACTATTATTATTATATATAGAAAGTATAGAAAGTATATATATAAATATATATATATATATATGTAAATTCATGCAAAAGAAAAAAAAAAGGAATGGCTTCTGTGAGAGCTTCGCGTCGATATGCTCACAGCCAGGCTGAAATCAAACCTAGATTCAAACTCAGTTCTCAAACTCATTAATAATTCATCCAGTTTAAACAAAGGAAATCATGACCGTGACAGCGTTTGGATATCTGATCTTAATTAGCATAGGTTTTTACTATTTCATTTTTCCGTTTTCTCCGTAGTTTTGGTTTCGATTGAGGAGATATATCAAACACTCAAGACAGCGTTTGACCACATTACCAAACACCTCGAAGTTCGTCAAAAATACTCCGCTGTGCGTCGTATTTTCAACTCTCTTCTCAGTGTTTGGAAATGTGATCAAACACGGTCTTACGTGTTTGATATATTACTTTTAACTTAGATTAACTATATCATCAACTTTTTTCTTAATATTTGCAGCCAACTCTCGCTTTACAAGCACACCTTTTTTGTAAGACCCCTTTGTTAATTCAGCCATGTTTTAGGCCTCTCACATTCAATCACCTTCTTTAATGTGACCAATCTGTTAATGCGGCCGCATTAGAACTGCCCAGCGGTGGTCTTATTAAAAAAGATTCACAGAATTGCTTTAACCCAGAGACATGAATCTCTATCAAAGATAACTTATAGAAATCGAACAGAAAAATTTAGTACTTTTTTTTAATTACTTTATACAGTAACCATGGTTAACAAAGCTAGCGCTCGAATAACAAAAATCATCAAAGATGTTGTACTGGCTGGGATAGAAGGGTACAATTTTACCGATTTCACGCAGTTTTTGGTGGAAGTGGCATCGCTGTCAACGGTATTGGGAATTTTCACCACGATGTGCCTGCTTTTCTACGTCAAGGTCACGTGTCCCTGTTTTGTATATGGCGACGGTACCAGACCCCGCACATTCCACAGTGCTCGTTACCAGATCGTCCCGTACAATCCCAAAGCTAATGAGGCTAAGCGTTATCGTTAGGAAGACAAAACAGAAAACCTACTCTTTCAAATTATTGTAAATAAGAACTGGAAGCAGAGAAAACAATAAAAGATTGTACAATAACTTTGTCGGGCTGATTTCTGTAAATAAAACCCCTATTCCCTTTCAACAATGCAAGAGCTATCAGCAATCGACATGGGAAAATATTGATTATTTTGGCATAGTCTTCTACACACTTTTATGTTGCAATCACGGGGCGCTTAATATTTTACTTTCGATCTCGAGGAATCTATAAGACAAATAGAACTTCTCAAAGGCGTTGATTATAAAACGCTCCGGCTATATCATGGAAGAGAGAGGTATCTCTTAAAGATGCATTCGTCAGACTGAGAACCTAATGAAAGGCCAAAACACATCGCAATCACAATCAATGACATTAACGATCACTTTTGAGTACTAATTGATTGGTCATCAATAGACCGATGCCAATCAGTGCCAATTAACTAACAGGAAATCGATTAGCATCGATTGATTTTCCAATCATCGATTTCATCAATTGTTCTCGTCCTGAATGAATGGAATTTGTTTATCTTTTCTGTGTTCTCTGTGAACTTAG